CGAGGCTGGGCCCTCGGCTCTCTCTCGCCTCTCTCTCTCTGCCCACCGGAGGGGCCAGCTCCGGCCCCGTCTGGCCGCCCGGCCTCGACCCTGTCCCGCCGCCTGACCCTGCGGGCCCCGGTGCGCAGCCGCCATGCCGTGGCCTTTCTCAGAGTCCATCAAGAAGAGGGCCTGCAGGTACCTGCTGCAGAGGTACTTGGGCCACTTCTTGCAGGAGAAGCTCAGCCTGGAGCAGCTCAGCTTGGATCTCTACCAGGGCACCGGCTCCTTGACGCAGGTCCCTCTGGATAAGTGGGTAAGAGATGCCTGCGTTTCACCCCCTCAGCTCCTGCTGCGGCTGAGGGACCAGCTGATGGGCCTGCCCCCGCCTGCTATTCACTTAGTTTGCAGTAATTAGCCTCCTTTATGTAAAAAGCCGTAATTAGCATTTAGTCCAGGGAGTTCTGACACGCGAGCGCTGAAAAATAATGAACATCTGAGCTTTTATTACGAATATGTTTTCCTTGTTACACTTTAACTTTTTTTTTTTTTTTTTTTTTTAAGTTATTAGAAGGGAAGCCAAAACTGAAAGTCAGTAGCTGCTGATATTTCAAGGAGAAGGAACTAGTCTAGTCCAAACTACTATAAATTGCTTATATAAACTGAGCAGCATGTTTACTGATTACTACCAGAGGCGATGATAACAAAGTAATTCTTATTGACAGTGTTATGCTGAGCTTAGTACATGTAGATTTCTAAAAATTGCCCCCTAGCCTTGCAGTGGTGAAAGTACTTGTTGACAAAGCTGAAGTTTGCTTAGCAGGTGAGCTGCCGTGCTTTGAACCAGCTGAAGCTTTTTTTCAGCTTGTTTTATATGTTTATATACGTGTGTGTGTATGTGTCAATATAGACACATACATATGCATCGGGCCTATTGTAGTAATCCAAAGATCTGTCTTAATGCTTGTGATATTTCATAAAGTTTCTTGGGTTAATTACCAAAGTTAGTGATTTCTACCTGCCAGTCAAATGACTGTCATGGGGAGCCCTTAACGACTGCTGTGCTCCAGTCATCGACTCCCAGGGTAATACAGATGAAGCATCCGGGCTTATTGTATTATAGAGTACTTTCCAAACATATTTTTACTGTACTGTGGTCTGATACTGGGCCATGCTGGGCACGTTTTAAAATACTTGTGAAAGTCTGATGTGTTCAAATAATGGTTTTCCAGTTGTTTGTGTGAAAATATGCTTGACAGTGGCAGGAAGACAGGTATTTGCAGAAATGCTCAAATTACCAGTCTGAAGTGTGGGGCTTTTGGTTATTTGCTTGTTTGTTTTCTGTCTGGCTGTGTCCGCAGCTTGTGTTCTGTGGCAGGCAGGCAGACTGTCTCGCTTTCATTGAATTATTATGCCCTCTGGTGGGTATCGCAGCAGCCTTCACGACTCAGAGTGGTTTTACTTAAAATGTAAATACTTTGAAACACAGCAGTTATCGGCCAGTACGAAACGAACAATTAATTATGTATACGCAGTAATTAAATGTATATACAATAATGCTTAGGTTATCTTCCCAGCTTGTAGATCAGCACTCTTCTGTTTGGGTTGTAAACAATGACATGTTTGAGATTCTGTGCACGTGACTTTCTCATGTATGACAGATTGCAAAAACAGATGTCGCAGAAGTACTGCAGCTCTTTTTTTCCCCTCTAGTTCTCTGTGAATCAGCGGGATTACTGTATTTTTACATATTACCCATTTTTGTGGACACTTCTGTTCATCTTAACATTGTAGATATTTCAGCCAACATTGCACATGTTTATAGATTATAGAGATATGTAGGAACACGTGGGCCTATTGGTGTAATGCCTTTGCCTCTGGAGATGTGGGGTGTTTAAAAAAAAGCCAAAGTGTAACGCATGATGTTTGTGGTAGTACATTGAATAGTACTTTTGCCACTAGTGTTACTGTGATTTCCAACTGGAGACTTCCAGTCAATCAAGTGGAAAAAAGTCCACATTTAGATACTGCTTCAGTTTTAAAATATCACTTGGAATTCTCAAATTGCTGTTTCCTAGGAATAACTGGCTTGTTTATGATGTAATTTACTTAGAAGAATCCTTGAAGCTTTTTGCTTTTAGATAGTAAATTTCTATTTCAGAGTAGTAAGGCTGTACTAAAATGGACTAAATTTTATCATCATGCATGTTGGTAGAAAAAACGTGTCTGAGGTCAGATGTATTTAAAATATGGTAACTAGCTTACTTCCTGCTGTAGCAAATTACAATGTAAAGGTTCAAGTAGTTTAAATGAATTGTGATATTTTCAAATATGGTTTTCATGCCAAATTATTATTTTTGCCTTATCTTATGCAATTGCCACTTCTGTAATTCTTACATTTGGTTCAAAATAGAGTTTTATGTGTCACTGAATCTTAGTTTCTTATTTGATTCTTAAATAGTTTCACAATAGCACAGTTTCGAGTTTTGTTTCCTTAAAGCTGGTGTCTTTTTCTAACAGGAACTAGAAAGGCTGAGCAGGCAAACAAACAAAATTCTAAAGGGAAAGTTAGGAACATCATAAGCCAAGCAATAAGTTAACATGATGGGAAAACTGCACCTGGAGACATAAGAATGAAAATTTTTCTGAAGACTTCTTTGTTAATTTTTATTTTAAAATCATTCTATATAATTGGAACAACACTTTAGATATAGTTAACATGGAAAGCAACTTTTAAATACTTTTAAAAGAAACATTTCATGTTTAATTTATCCATTTTCTCAGGTAATATCAGTGGCCCTGTTCAACAAGAAGGATCAAACCCACACTTTTTTGTCAGTTAAACATAATGTCCTATTATGACAATCACAGTCTTCAGTAGAGTCTTTTATCTATTACCGAATTTGGTATGTGATTTAGATGGTGTTTTATTTTATTAAAGCAGTCTAGATAGTTCTTGTTCAGTAATTTCAGTTTTAACTAAGTTTTTCAATTGGGGAACAAACAGTGGTTTGCATTTTCTTTTTTTTTTAACATAACTGTGAAGAATGTTTCCTTTCAAAATATTCTCTTTGGACTCTGTATGGATGTAATGAAAGCTCTGTAGTGCAACAAGTGAGTCTTAGGATTGTTGAAAACTTTGAAAATCCTAAGCTACTTCTTCAGAGGTGGTGTTCAGTTCTCATCAATTTCATTTACTCTTAAGATGCTGAGGGAAACTTGTCTAGTTTTGTTAATAATGTAACTAGAAAGGACTGGATTAATGGAACAGTTTCTATAGAATATTGGTCTGTCTACTGAGCTTCAGTTTTTAAATTAGTGGTGAGCATTTAACACATTAAAATTTAATTTAGAAATGGCAAGTATGTTATATATATACAACATATAGACAGCAAGAGATGATTATTTGGCTCCAATGTCCCAGTGTCACAAAGAAATGTGAAATGAACATTACATTAAAATGACATGCAGAAACCAGGTGGTACTTGCATTTTTACTGTCAGCCTGTTTTCGGTTTTCTTCAAGTATTGTCAGAGCAATAATAGATTAGCTTGTGTCAGTCCTGTAG